GGGATTTAATCCTTAAGAACTGATGTCCAGAGTAAAAAGCTGACAGACCTTTAGCAAAATCAGATGAGCATTCCTCTAGATGGTGTGGTGCTAGGTTCTTCACCCAATTTAAATGGAAAATAAATGGGAAGGTGGGTCAGAAACAGCAGCCAGGAGCAGAGTGTGGTGATGCTTTGGAGGTACTCACTGCCATTCCCTCCCTTCTCACTGAGGGAAGAAAGTAGAGAGCATTTACCTTTACTACTCTTCAATGGGACAATATCACTTATGTAAAATTTTTATTCCTGATTTTTGTGCATTTAATCAAATGTTTCTTGTTCCTTGATTTGTTTTATCGCAGCTGGAATGCTTAATAGTGCTTTTTGTACTCCCTAGTCTCACAATCCCCTTTCCCTGCCTTTGGTGCCACACCAATGCTAGAGGTCCCCTGGGTCTGATACCCGTTTCATTTTCTCCTGTAGCAGTAGAAGCCTTCCATCTCTGCTGTGATGCTTTGCATATGCTGCTGTGTTCCTGCCCCTCCCCAGCTGAGGGGGCTGCACCCCTGACCACTGCTGCTGTTGCAGGGTGTTTGCTGTCAGTCTGCTTTCTGGCTTGTTTTTCTTCCCCTGCAGTTACAGCAACTTTACCACACAGAGGGAAGACCTATCCCTAGGCAGATTATGAAGCAAAGGTCTTCTGTCTTCAGCAAAGGTATTTTGGTTTTAAATTACAGTGTCACTGTAATGGAGTCACTCTCAGTTTTCATACATGATTTAGACTTTTGCCTTTAGAAGTAAGTGTAGTACTGCTGCTTTTAGTACTACATAAAAGCAGGGAAAAAGCATACACTTACTAATTCTGTTAGTATAATTGATAGTGGTGGTTGTCTCATAGAGCATGATTTTAGCTATAGTTAAATTACACCCTAATGAGAAGTTTTTGAAATGGCCACTGCCAAAATCGATGGCTCTCCCTCATTCCCACTATCTCTCTGTAGCTTCCTCCTGTGCCAAATCTCATCTAACTCCATAAGTAGCTATTCAAGAAGCTGAAGTGGCAGAAACACTTCTCCCTCAAAACATGTCTGCTACAGTGGAGTCAGGTGGGAATAGATTGAAAAGAGTGCAGGAGCAAGCTGTGAGCGGCAGCCATCAACCTGGCTATCTTATAAACTTGTACCCTGCCCTTACATCCATAAATGTAAGAGTATCCTGCAGGATGAATGGCTAGATAGCCTGGATGTTCAGAGAAACAAATTTGTTTCAGCCTGAAGAATTCAAAACAATTGTTTGCTCTTTCCTGTGCTTTGACCCTGCTGAATCCTATTATAACCCCATTTGGCAGGCACTGTTTGCCCATAGTGAAGCCATGGTGGCTGTCACTGATCATCTCCTTATTTTCCATGTGCCCTTGCATGGTTTCCAGGAGGATCTGTTCTATTGTCCTGCAGGGCACCAACATGAGACTGAGTGGCCTGTAGTTCCCCAGGTCTTCCTTTTTGCCCTTTTTAAAAATGGGGCTTATGTTTCCTTTTTCCAGTCACTGGGAATTTCACCAGACTGCCATGACTTCCTCGATACAATGGATAATGGCTTAGCTGCTTCATCTACCAGTTCCCTCAGGACCTGTGAATGCATTTCATCAGGTCCCATAGACCTGTGCACCTTCAGGTTTCTTAGGTGGCCTCCTGCCACCTAATGAAGTGGGTGGTTCTTCATTCTCCAGGTCCTTGCTGCTGCCTTCTGTTACTTGGATGATGTGGCTGGAGCACTTGCCAGTGAAGACTGAGGCAAAAAAGCCACTGCGTACCTCAGCCTTATCCATATCCTGGATAACCAGGTCTCCCATTTCCTTCTGAAGAGGGCCCAAGTTGTCCCTAGTCTTCCTTTTGTCACCACTGTACCTGTCAAAAACTTTTCTTCTTTCCCTTGTCATCTCTGGCCAGATCTGTCAGAGCTTCAGGTTCAGACTGCTGAATTCATGAACATGAATGAGAATCAAATACAAGAGAGGTCAGGAATACCAGTTGTTTTACTAATTTTTTGCTAATGCGTTGAAAAGAAGTAGAAGGAAGCAAAGTAAAAATCCCTAGAGTTAAACTAATGCCATTTTCCTTTTTGGTGTCAGTTTTTCCTGTTGCTATATTGAACATACTGTTTTCCTGTGATTCATGCAGCGAAACATTTTAAGGTTTGAGATGATCCTCACTGATTATCTTACAAATATACCCTAAAAGAAAGGACAATTTGAATCATGTGAACTATACGAATCATCATCATTTATGCAAGACCTAGGGAAAGCACAGGGGGTGGTAACTGCAGTGAGAACAGTGGTGGCCAGGCCCAGGGGCAGGGTGCTATTTGGAGCTGAGATACTCTAGGTCTTAAGTGAACGAAATCCTGGGGAACCTGGTCTGAAGTCAGCGCTGACCATCTCTTTGAAACAGAGACTCTGAAAGTCCCATCCATCCTGAATGAGACTGATTTAAAATGACCAGTTCCAAAAAGCATCAACATACACTGAGCCAACAGCTTGGTTTTATTCAAAAGTGGAAGCAAGTACCTGTCCAAGGTACAAAGGAAAGTTCATTGGCATTTTCCTGATGTTGAGAGGGCTTTTGCTAAAATGTGTATGGATGAGTTGATGAATGTTTCTGAAGACAAAGCTGCCTCATGGGTATCTACCTAATGAAAAAACAAAAGGCTTGAAAACCTAAGTACAGAGGAGAGGGTGGCAGAAATAAACCACGTAACCGCTGAGGAGCGCTGCAGTGTTTTGAAAGATGCAAGGACAGAATGCAGATATGGTGGGGAGCTATACCCTCTGTAGTGAAGAATCATCATGAAATTAAGCTCTAATGCTAAAAAACGGGGACTGAATTAAGCAATTACAGTAACAGCATAAAATGTATCTACGTTAGTTTATCGGTTTCACTAAGCAGAATTTGGAACAAGCTTAGTGCCCTCTAACAAGCGAACCAGTGGAAGTTTGGACTTGTGATAAAGCCTAGGAAACATGATAATAGCAATGAACAATGCCTATAAAAAAAAGGTTGTTATCTTTTACGTATCCGTTTCTCAGGAGAATAGGCTTCTAAGACTTAGGAAGATGATAATTCCAAACAGGAACTACAGAGGATCAAAAATAAAGGCTGGGTGGAGAATGGATTCAGAGAAGCCCTGAGAAGAAGGACTTGGGGGTGGTGTTTGTTGAGAAATTGAACATGAGCTGGCTTCAATGTGTGTTTGCAGCCCAGAAAGCAAACCGTATCCTGGGCTGCATCAAAAGGAGCATGACCAGCAGGTCAAAGGAGGGGATCCTGCCCCTCTACTCTGCATTCATGAGACCCAACCTAAATAATGCATTCAGCTCAAGCAGGTCCAGAGGAGGCCGTGAAGATGATCAGAGGCTGGAGCACCTCTCCTATGAAGACAGGCTGAGAAATCTAGGCTTGTTCAGCCTGGAGAAGAGGATGCTCCAGGGAGACCTTAGAGCAGCTTCCAGTACCTAAAGGGAGCCCACAAGAAATCTGGAGAGTGACTTTTTACAAGGTTATGAAGTGACAGGACAAGGGGGAATGGCTTTAAACTGACACAGGGGAGGTTTAGACGAGATATAAGAAAAAAAAAAATCTTCATTATGAGTGTGCTTGAGGCACTGGCACAGGGTGCCCAGAGAAGCTGTGGCTGCCCCATCCCTGGCAGTGTTCAAGGCCAGGCTGGATGGGGCTTGGAGCAACCTGGTTTAGTGGAAGGTGTCCCTGCCTGCCGCAGTGGGTTGGAACTGGATGAGCTTTAAGGTAATCAAACCATTCTGTGACTCTGAAAGACATTCTTGGGTGAAAAAAAAAGAAAATATTTTGACTATTTTCCCACTATAATTCTGTTTAAATTCCATTATGCATAAATCATAAAGGTTTTCTTTCCTTATACAAGCTATACAGATCATTTACTGGAACAGCAGCATTACTGGGCAGACAAAAATGAAAGGCAACAGATAAACCGGCAAGTAATTCTGCTGTAAGACATTTAAATAAAAAACAAATGGGAACACGAATGTATGAAAAATGCTAAGGCTTGTGAAGTTTAAAAAGGGTGAAACCGAGTAAAATTACGTGGGGCGGGGGGGCATTTCTCCAGGATATCCTTTGGAAAAGCACCAGTGAGGCTCTGGGACCTTGATGCGTGGACTGACTCCACAACTCGTTAAAGTTGTCAAGTAGGTATGCTTTTTTATTCAGCGCTGAGACGCACGGGGATAATTCCTCAAAGTCATGTGTGCCTCAGTGTTGTTTCCCTCTACATTTATTCTCTAAAGTTATATATATTCATAAGGTTGCACAACACGCCTATACATATTCATGTCCTATCTCCACTTCGTATTATAATGAGCCAGAAGGTCCTCTGCGCCTGCGCAGTGCCCCCTCTGGTCATGGGCAGGGGTCTCAAGATGAAGTAAATGAGTCTTCCTCCTCTGGGTAGGGGTCTTCAAGATGAAGTAAATGAGTCTTCCTCTTCTTGCACTTTTCACCTTTTTAGTCTTCACGTGTGGCCTTAGAGTTTGGTCAGTGTCCCAGCCATAAATAATCTGCTTCTCCCCTTTATCAGTAGATTCAGGCGTCTGCTTTTCCTTATCAACAGGACCGGAGGTCTCTGTTCTGCTTAGCAGGCATTTACAACAGATCGTACTTTTGTTTAAGCAAGCAAATTCCTCCAAGCCCCCTGTACAACCCCCCTGTATATTGGTCAACTCTCTGCATCAAAGTGTAACTTTTAATGGTCCCCGGGCAGAGGGAAGCGCGGCCGCTCCGCCTCAGGAGGGGGCGAGGAAACGGAAGCACCGCTCCAAGCGGTTACACAGCAAAAGCCCCATCACGTAAATCCTCACCGGAACGGGGCTGAGCTCGCTTTGAACATCACAGGATCTAAAAGCCCCAGAGTGACCATGTTTAAGGAACATCCTACTTCCACTTTCCGACGTTTCCCTGTTTCGCCGTCCCCTCGCCTCAGGGCCGACGCTCCCTCATCCCCTCAGCGGGGGACAACACGGTGACTAGGCCCCGCCGCCTTCTCACCTTCGTGCGCGGAGCGGCTCAGCCCAGCCGGGAGCCGCCGGGGCGGTGCTTCTGCCGCTCCGCCTTCCCAGCGCCGCTGCAGGAAGCCGGAAGCGGCCGGGCCGGGGCGCTGGGCAGGCAGGGCGAGAGGTGGCTCGGTGCGTGGGGTCGGTGGTGTGCGGGGGAGGCTGCGGCGGTGGCGGGGTGGCCGGTGCTGGTGGCGGCGCGGAGATGAACCGCGTCTCCTCACCGCCGCTGCGGGGAAGCGGCTCCCTCCGCGCTGCCTCTGGGCTGAGGTGCTTTCGTTTTCCTGGGGCGGCGGCGGCGGGGCCTTCCCGGGCGCTGCCGGCTCCCGAGGAGGGTCGCGGACGTCGGTGGAGCCCCCTGAGGCATCTGCGGACCCGGCTGTACGGGCAGCCCCCCGTAACTGCCCCCGGCCGGAGTGGACAAAGTGGGGGCCGGCCTGTGCCCTCGGCGGCATGTCTGGAGCTCGTCCCTTGCCCTGGTTCTCGATGGCTTTTAGCCTGGCGAACGTCGGCAGGTCGCGACCCATCCAGTTAGTTTTGTAACTGGAAGCGGAGGGGGGAAGCCAAGCGAAGCATATGTTTGCGGTGGTTTGTTTAAAGCGTTCCTCAGGTAGCGGTGTCGCCTTCGTGTTTGTAGAAGTTGCTAAACTTTTACTTCAGGAAGGATGTCCTGTTGTAGAGATGAGCTGCTGCACCGTGCCCTTCGCACCTCTCTGAATGCGGGGGTGGCTGGTGGCTGGGGTGGGCCTGTGGCCCCCCATAGCTTTCCAGGAGCTGCTGTCACTGACGGGAGGCGGAGTCCTCCTCCCCCGTTACGGACTGGAAACGCGAAGAGCAGTGGTGCTGAGGAGCGCTGGAGTCAGGCTCGGCATTTGTTTTGCGGGCCTTTGCATGTCCTGCTCCGTGTTCTTCAGAGCAGCACCTCGTATAGCCCAGGGCAGGGTGTCTGGGAATTGAGATACTGGCTTTTGGACTGGAAACTCCCAGGAGGAGATCAGATACAGGAAACAGGAACTTTGACGGGGGGCATTTCCTAGGCTAGGTGTCCTTTTTCTCTTAGAGTGGGCATACAGGAAGTGTAAAACCGTTGTGTTTACCAGACTCTATGATTCTAACATAACATTTATTCAGAACCTCAGAGCTTTGCCTGTCTGCTTTGGTGGCAAATGGGATTTTGTTTGTAGGCAGAAAGAGCCTTCACTTTAACTTCTTCCTCTGCCCTACTCTCCTGGAGAACTTGCACGTTGTAGCTGTTAACAGGGCTTTGTGTGCTTATCCCACATGCCTGAGGTAGCAGCACACTTTGCATGAATTAGAAGCAGTCAGTGCTTCCTGCTTCAAAGACTGGGAGTTTAAAATGTCACGGTAGCAATGCAGTCTTTTTCTATTACAACTGCCCCTGCTGGTAAATAAAGAAGTCGTATCAGCAGAGCAGGAAAAAAAAAACCAACCCAAAAAGCACCCCCCAAACCCTTGCAGTGCTAATGAGTCATGGGGGATAGTAACCCACACTGCTGGTAGGAGAGAGAACTAGGCAAGTGTGAGGAACTTGTGACTCATCTAGGATCAGACTTAAGACCATAAATGAGATTTGAAAAAATAGAAAGTTCAGCATTAAATCTATCGACAGGACCAAACATACAGCTATATATATATATATGCGTTTTAATATGAAACTTAGTGAATTGATTTAGGAAGGTAATGGAAAATATGAAAAGAAATCTCGGCCAGCTGAATCAAGTCAGAATAAGCAAAGATCAGTTCTGAATCAGTCTAAGAAGGGAAATCAGAGGAGGTCTAACACCTTATGTAAGTTATTCAATCAAATTATTATAATTTGAAGACTAAAAGCTAAATGAGACTTTAAAAGTGAAAACTCTGCCAGAAGTGTAGACTTTATTATTATTATTATAAAAATACTACTTTGACAAAAAAAAAAAGATCATAGTGCAACACTGACTCTGGTTTGGCCCTGGATTAATACTGGCATAATTATATCTATATTTTTATGAGTGAAAAACCCAGACCTTGAGAACCCATTAGTGACTTGGTGTTTTGTTGGGGTTTTTGAAATCCATTGGATGCTATTCAAGCTCATCTGTTTTGTTGTCACCCACTGAGCTTCATGCAAATTTAAAAGGGAAAGTAAAGAAAGTAAAGGGATGATCTCATACATAAACTACCTCATCTTTATCACTTCAGGCACTTCAGGCAACGTAATAATTCAGTCTGTAATGGGCTGCTGAAATTTTTAGTATTTGAGCACACATCAGTGAAGAAACTCTGTTTACTTGATCCTCCTGCAGGTTTCCTGTCTGCTTAGAAAGGATTCATTATGTTTCTGCATCTTGGAATGAGTTTAATGAACATTGTGCTGAAATACATGACAAAATAGGTGCTTACTGGCAGTGTGCCAGCTGGCTTGTTGCAAGCAGAGTTCTAATTATGAAGAACTTTTTAATTTGGAGATTTTGCAGGTGATTTACAGAGTGGTCTATGCATTATTTCCTTGCAGACCTCTTGCTTACCTCTGTGTCTGCATTGTAGATAACTCTTTAGCATCTATGGTAATTGCTAGCTGGGAAAATTTTAATTGTTCTACTATTGCAAATTGTCACAGTTAACTGAGAATTGTAGGGGTTTGGGATGTGCTGTTGCAGGTTTATTTGGTTCAGATTTGTGGTGAAACCTTTTTTTCCCTTCTCTATATTAAGAACTTTATCTAGATTTTGAAAATGGTGTTGCTGCATGATACTGAATATAGAGTGATGTGAGGGCTTTGCGCTGTGTTGTTGAGTTCTGTATGCAGCATGTCGTTACCTGGATGTTTTGGGACAGTTTTACAAGAAGCTCCACATCTTATTGTGAGCAAATAGCTGAATGGAAGTATGCAATCTGCAGTCGCTGTGCATAGAGAAATGTGTTCAAAGACATGAGCCAGTTCCTGTGTCTGTGCCGTGGCATGGGTGGGATCAGCAGCAGTGCAAAGGTGGGTGCTTCAGCGGGCGGCTGGAGCGGGATGAGGGAGCGGTGCTGCGTGGCTGGCCTGCAGCTTTCTCTGCTCTCCTGTAATAGACGCCATGAGGCTTGTGCTGGTTTCGTCTTGTGCACCAGGGAGCCCTCAGAAAGCACCAACCATCTTCTTGCAACAACATGCACAGGAAACTGTCGTTCTGGGCTTCGTTTCTTTTGGGTATCAGTTAGCTGTTTCTTACTGGTCTACACAGGCGGATGCAGGGGTCCGCTGGCAGGCTTGAGGAAAAGCTGCTGCTGTAGGACCTTACCCTGGAAGCTACATATTTGATCTTACAGCCTTTCACTTGATTTAATGGCAAAATCAGTTTTTTTTTAATTAACCCAAAAGGAATGGCATTCACCTGGAGCTTCTACTGTTTTGACAGGGGGGAAAATTCTGGCAGTTCTAATGTTGTTTTTAATAATTTTAATTTAATCAGACATTTTTTTCTCTTGAATCTGTGAAAACCTGAGCATCTGGTAGTTCACATTTCACGAAGGATGGGCAATCCAGACTCTCTTTCTAGAAAAGATGTGACATACCAAATGTGAAGTTTAGACATGGGAGAAATGTTCCTAAATTTCTTCCTGTGGTCCTAATGAGTAGCTGAAAATACTTGTGTTAACTTGTGACTTCTGTCTAGCTCACGTAAAAGAGCTTTTCATAAGTAGCTAGTCTGGTTCCTTTACAGTTGTACTGAAGTACAACTTCCGGAGCCCAAGCAATCTAAATAAGGAAATGTGTGTGTGTGTATATATATAAAACAGATATATACATATATATATATCTGCATCATCTGTAATATATTTTCTTTGGCATATGCACCCAATAATGGCATTGATCACAGGTGTTATTGTTTTTCAAAAGACCTTGTGCATGTGGTTTTGACTCTTTACTAGTCTGCTCTCATGATACCCCACTTGGAGTACTGTTTGCAGTTCTGGTGTCCTCAACATAAGAACATGGAGCTGTTGGAGCAAGTCCAGACGAGGGCCATGAGAACCTCCTGTGTGAAGACAGGCTGAGAGAGTTGGGGCTGTTCAGCCTGGAGAAGAGAAGGCTGCATGGAGACCTTGTAGCAGCCTTCCAGTATCTGAAGGGGGCCTACAAGGATGCTAGAGAGGGACTCTTCATCAGGGACTGTAGGGATAAGACAAGGGGTAATGGGTTTAAACTTAAAAAGGGCAAGTTCAGGTTAGATATAAGGAGGAAGTTCTTTCCTGTTAGGGTGGTGAGGCACTGGAACAGGTGGCCCAAAGTAGTGGTGAATGCTCCATCCCTGGCAGTGTTCAAGACCAGGTTGGACGAGGCCTTGGGTGATATGGTTTAGTGTGAGGTGCCCCTGCCCATGGCAGGGGGGTTGGAATTTGATGATCTTAAGGTGCTTTCCAACCCTGACTACTCTATGATTCTACGGCAGTAGTTTGATTGTTGAGCTTGGTTTTGTTTGTTTCATCTTTTATTCCTCTAGTTGGTTGTTCTTAATTGTTTCTGTATGTCTTTGGAGTTGTGGTTAAGTTGGAGTTTTGTTCCTTCTAATTAACATAAATCCCTTTTGTGTATTTTACGAAATTATGATTCCATGTATTTAACCTTTTGTTTTTAAGGTGAAAAAGAAAACTGTCTAATCAAAGAGCAAAGATGCAGAGCACTTTGAATTATCTCTGGCTGTTGTCTGACATCCTAGGGCAGGGAGCTACTGCAAATGTTTTCCGGGGCCGACACAAGGTTTGTGAGGAGTTGCTAATCTGAGTATATATAAAACTGATTTTTTTTTTCCATATGCGAGTAGTATCATGAAATCAACAAAAAATATTCAAGATTTAAGCCTAAAACAAATATATCTTTGCTAATATTAATTCTTAGCTTTTAATTGTTAACACTCATCCAATGAATTGAGTTCTATACAGTAATTTCTGTGGATTTGTTTCCAATATTGTACTGTTTGTCCTTGTAAAATATGAAATGTTATTAAGTATCCTATGATTCATTCCTCTGTTTTTTTGTTTTATGGAAAAAGTACTCCTCGTTTAAGAATTTAAATAGCAATGAAAGTCTTAATCAGTTTTTATTACATTACATGATATGTTGTTTTTTTCTTGCTTAAATTATCTTTTCACAGTTTTCCCCTATTATTTTAAACCCCTTTTTTTTGTGATTTTTATTATTTTTCAATATTCTTAATGTATTATCATACTGGATGGAGTTGCTGTTAGTCTTTGGCCTTAAGTCAATGTTTCATACATGTCTAGAACACCATTTTCTTGGTGACATGCCATTTTTAATCAGTACAAAATAGGACATTTTTGAGGAGTTTTGCCATGCAAATGTTATACTGATGTGTATATTGTAACCTGAGTGAGGAGCTAAAATGTCCTTACTTGTGTAGGTCATTCTATTCCTATGAACTTCATGGTATAGCTCACAAAATGAAGATAAGACTGGTGAAAATAATGTTCTGTTATAGTAATGACAGTCTGTGTGAAATCAGAGTGAAGGTATATAAAAGCTACAGTGCTTTCTGTGTTCCACATTTAACCATGAAGCAACACTAAGGAATAATTTAACAGTTAATGTGCTTTTCCAGGTAAGTGTATTTCCTCCCAGAATGATTCCGCTTTAAAGCTTACGTTTTCATGCTTGTGCCTCTCACCAGCCCCTCTAGTCTGAGTGTGTGACCTGCAGCTTGTCAGTGAGAGAAAACTTTTATCTGGGCACCAGTAGCGCATGTAAGCGTGTTGTATAACAGGAAGGCTTTGTCCTCAGCAAGAATCTCTCACCCACATGGCTGCTAATGTATGCTTATTCCTAGAGTGGCTGCAGGGAGGTACTTGGCCCTAAAAGGGATTGGAACTGCACACTCAGCTGGTGCTGTAGGTGCTTGAGCATGTTGAGGCTTAGTCCCACTTGAAAACTGAAGTCTCTGACTGAGCTCATGTCTGTACTCCTGTTACTTATTATGTGGGTTTGAATTGCTTCAGGATTTTGGTGGTAGTATGTAGTGCCTGACACTGCTTTCTTTGAAAAAATAAAATACTGCTTTATGAGCATAAACAGAACAATAAAGAAAAAGAGCAGTGTTCAGCTTCCGAAAGTTGTCTCTTAAGCAAGCCAAGATTCTCAACTGAAGCATGTGTGTCTCATACTGATTGATGCAAGTGGCCTACCTCTTGCTGAAATTTTATTTTTCAGCTAAATTTATGTGTCATTCTTAAACGTGAAGCCCGTCTTATGCTAATTGTTCTTTGTTTTTAAAAGCACTTAGATTTTGTGGACTAACACTGAGTTTCCATTCTGCTAGTCTATTTGCTTCTAGTCTATGTTAGACTAAACCAGGATATATGCAGGTTTTTTTTTTTTAGTGCAATCTTAATTTTCACCTTACGTAAAATGCTATTTTGAACTATTTGTAATCTGGGCATGCTCATATTCACAACAGAGGATCTCAAAATGCTTGGATAATGGCATATATACATTTACAGACTTATGCTTCTGTTTAATTAGTAATTTGTTTGTTTTTAACAGAAAACTGGGGATTTATATGCTGTCAAAGTTTTTAACAGTCTGAGTTTCCTTCGTCCTGTGGATGTTCAGATGCGAGAGTTTGAAGTGTTGAAGAAACTAAATCATAAGAACATTGTCAAGCTGTTTGCCATTGAAGAAGAGGTAATGAATTGTTGTTACGATCTGATGTGCGTGGGAGTAACTGCGGTAACTGTCTTTTTTCTTTATGCTTAACTATAGAGGATAAAGTTACATTTTTAAAGAATGGTAACCTATATGATGATGTAAGTACTCTGACCCAACCACCACTGGTTTTTGTTTTTCTTTTTTTGTTGTTATTGAAAGAATATGCTTGCACAGATTATGGTTCTTCAAAGCTATCTCGAGAAGCCATTGTCCTAAGCTTGAATAAGGATTTTTAAGCTATCTACATGTATGAATATTTAATACATGCTGATAGTGGGAGGTGTGTCAGTAATTCTGATAATTTGATGCTTTTGCTTTGCAACCAGCTAAAATAATGACATAGGACATGTAGAGCTGTATGTTAATATGGATTGCAGTTGTGCTGAGAATGAGACTGGTCAGCTGAAATGACCCAGATGCTGAGATTAGTAAAGAGGAAAGAAGGACAGTTGCTGCTCTCTGCTCTTCTGTGTTGTAGTTCTTCATTAGTCCAGCTATCAATACTGCAGTCAACCCTCTAAGTACCTAGAACTCGAGGCTTTCTTAAATTTTTCCGCCATCTCCAGGTCAAAATACATGAAACAATATAAATAAATAACCTACACTTCTTTTGAAGATCTCCAGAATGGGATTTGCTATCTAGTTACAGATTTTCTTTTATATTTTTTTAACTAAGATCCTGTGGTTATATGTATTTTCTGACATTGTTTTCACAATGGTCACAGGCTTACCCTCTTAATTTTATTTTTTCAGACAACAACTAGACACAAAGTACTAGTTATGGAATTTTGTCCGTGCGGGAGTTTATACACAGTTTTAGAGGAGCCCTCTAATGCCTTTGGTTTGCCAGAGTCTGAGTTCTTAATCGTCTTGAGAGACGTGGGTACGTAGACTTTGTTCTTTGCTCTTTTTTCTAATTTATTGACTGAAACAAAGTCATACCTGTGTGTTTATCTTGAAATGGCAAGAGATGAGCAATTTGAATGACTGTCAACTAACTGAGCAAATGAATATGGTCATACGGAGTCACATCTTTTGCTTATGTGTAGATGATATAGATAGCTACATTAAGATGACATTGCTGTTTAAAGCATTGCTATAATTTTTGTTTATTTCAGGATTATTTGTCACATGTTAGACTGATGCCCAGTGACAATCTCAGAAGAGTCAATTAGAAAACTAATGAGGCTTACCTGTGTCTGCCTGTTACAGAATTTTTGTTTGTTACTTTAATGGTAAGATGTTGCTGAGCAGGAGATACTATAATTTAGCTGCTTGGAAAAAAAGAAAGTAAAAATGTTTAGGATATTCTCTGGTCCTGCTCTTTTTGTTAATTGAGTGTCCCTTCTTATGTCCATTTCCCAGTGAGGAAGTAAAAATGTATGTCTTCATAGCCTCAGTTACAATTCAGTGCTTATGCAGTTTGTGTCAAGATGTATACATAAATTCTGTATTATCTTTTTTTTCTTTTTAATGGAAGTGGCTGGCATGAATCATCTCCGGGAGAATGGAATAGTGCATCGTGACATCAAACCAGGCAACATAATGCGTGTTATTGGTGAAGATGGTCAGTCTGTTTACAAACTGACAGACTTCGGTGCTGCGAGAGAACTTGAAGATGATGAACAATTTGTTTCTCTCTATGGCACAGAAGAATATTTAGTAAGCTCATATGATTTCACTTTCTCTTGAACTGTTTGAAGCCCAGGGCAGTTTGTGATGAGAGTTGAGTAGGTGAAGGTTGGACTGTTTGGAATTATTTTTACAACTTTAAACCTTTTTCATGTTAGGTCATGCCAGGTCTTCCACTGATCTGACAACACTAGCCTTTAAATAATTTCCAGGTCCAGCCTCCATTGCTGCCTTCTGTGAGAGGAAGAACAACAGTATTTTAGTAATGAATGTCTTTGCCTTTATCTCTGTAGATATTTTTCAGTTTTTGTTTGAGCTCTTGTGTGATGTTAAGTGTAGTTAAGATTCACTTGATGCCTTAGTTAACTGAAGAGAGGCAGGCAGAGAGGCATCAATATAAGCATCTTAGGCAGTTTTCTTCCTGCCATGTTTTCCCACATGCAGTATCGTAACTGATATTCTCCTCTGCTATGGATCTTTTTCTAGTTTGGTTTCTTTTGTTTCAAAGTCATCTGGAGGAATACTGGCTTTCACCTCTTTTTTTTTTTTTTTTGTGGTGTTTTATTCTAATAGTCAGCATTTAGCTAAAATTTTATATATTTTTGTAGACCTTTAATAAAAGTAGTTATTATACCTAGGAACACTTTTGTGATACCCTGTCAGAATCATTTAAGCAAATTCTTTTATACAGGATAACTTTGCTATTTGATTAAAGATCTGAAAGTTTAGAATGACAACTTACCTTGCTGTGAAATGGTAGATTAGGGTATTATTCTTTGTATTGTTCATAAGCAATTCCAACTTCTTTTTTTTTTTCCTGCTTTTTTTTGTCTTTAGCATCCTGACATGTACGAGCGAGCCGTTTTGAGGAAAGAGCATCAGAAAAAGTACAGAGCAACAGTTGATCTGTGGAGCATAGGGGTGACCTTTTACCATGCTGCGACAGGGAGTTTGCCTTTCCGACCCTTTGAAGGACCTCGTAGAAACAAGGAAGTGATGTAGGTAATTTTGAAGGAGAATTTTATCTGTTTGTAAAATAAGTCAGTCCATGACATGCTTTTTCTCAAAAATCCTATGCACATGTAGTAAACATTAAAATAGTGAAAATATTTAGGGAAAAACATTCTTTAACTTTGTGGTTTAACCCCACTAGGTAGCTAAGCATCAAACAGCTGCTCGCCCACTCCCCTGCAGTGGGATGGGGGAGAGAACTGGAAGGGTAAAAGTGTGAAAACTCGTGGGTTGAGATAAGTTTAATAAGAAAACAAAAACCACTAAGAAACAAAAACACACAAAAAAACCCCAACAAGTGCAAGCCCCGCCCCCCCCCCCTCCCCAGCTGAAAGGAAAACACAACCCAGAAAAACAAATGGTGCAAAAAATCCCCTGTTCCTCACCGTCAGCCAACTGACGTCGCTTCAGTCACTGACAACTGCCATCCTGGAAATTCCCCACCCCAGCTTTTATTGCTGAGCATAATGTAATATGATAGAGCATATCCCTTGGGGTCAGCTTCCAGTACGTCCTTCCAACTTCTTGCCTGCCCCTAGCCTACTCACTGGTGGGTAGTGTGAGAAGTAGAAAAGGCCTTGATGCTGTGTAAGCACTGCTCAGCAGTGGCTGAAACACCCCTGTGTTATCAACACTGTTTTGGTCAAATCCAAAACACAGCACTGTGTGAGCTGCAATGAAGAAAATTAACCCTGTCCCAGCCAAAACCAGTACAAACATTCTGCTTCAACAAGGATTTTATTGTATTGCACTTTAAAACCTGAGTTAAGCATCAGAGCTCCACCAAAATACTGATGTTTTTCCACATACCTTTCTTTCACCATGGTACTGGGCTGGTCTGTTGCACTGTGGTATATATCACTTGGATATTCAGGCAAAATCAGGACATTTTTAGACAGATTTCCAGTACTGCAAGTTTTTGTTGTCTTTTAAGTGATTGTCTTTCCAGGCAGTCTTGAAATGCATGCCCTATGCATGAGATTTAAGTTTTTTGAATAGCATGGCTGTTGACAGTGGCTGAAGATAACAAGAACAGCTCCTGACTGTGAAACTGAAGTTGTGTCTATGCTGTGCTGTTTGGAATTGGTTCCTGTTTTGCCTTAGTCTAGTTCTATTTTGTTGTTCTGTGTGTTGCATTTAAAAAATAAAGCAGGGTGGTACTTGGGACCTCTCATAGGCCAGTAACATTTCTGTCCTGGTACTGCTTGCAAAGCTGACTTCAATTTTCTTACTTTAAGGAACTGCCCATCTTGTGATTGTCTCACAGGTGTTGTTGTTGTATCTACTTGAGAGATAAGCCAAGAAAATGTAGTTTGTATGTGCCTCTAAAAAGAGAAAGCACAACTGAAATTTTCTATTGCAAGAAGCCTATTGCTCCTGATTTGTTTAATGAGAAATTTGAGAAATACTAGCCTGGTCAGTACAGAGTTAGACAATGCTGAATTGTATGCCAGTTGCTAAATGTTTCCAAGTTAAAGTAATTCCTCCGAGTCCCTCTTCTGTTCCTTCTTTATCCCCAAGTGACTTTGTGTGGCTAAATGTTATCTCTTGCCATGGAATATGTTAGAAGTTAGTCATGTAAATGCCTAATTTGAACAGCCTTGGAAATCTGACTTGTAGAAAAGAAAAAAATCAGCTTCCTTCAGTGATTCCTGAAATCTCTCCTCAGTTTTTCCCAAACTTAGGTAGACAAAGATGTTTCTCCACACAGCCCAAAGTGTTTAATCATCATTGTTTACTGTTTTAGCTCCACTCTGTCAGCTTCTAAGTAAAGCTTCCCAGTTATTGCACCACCTACAAATTTAGGCCAGCCCATTATTTCTGTTTATATTATTGATGCCTTTTGAGGATCAGTTACCATACCTATGTATGTGTAAGAGGTAGTAGTTGATGTCTGTATTATTTTTATAATGTATCACAGGTACAAGATAATCACTGAAAAGCCTTCTGGTGCTATTTCTGGAGTACAGAAAGCAGAAAATGGACCAATTGAGTGGAGGCGGGAGATGCCTGTTTCTTGTAGTCTTTCGAAGTAAGTTTGAACTTCTCACAAAATGTTTCAACACTACTTGATTGGGTTTTTCCAATTATTCTCTGAGGATTGCATCTTTGGAACAGAGATCTGACTGCTGTAGTTGCTTTCTTTGAACTCTTCAGTAGGTCAGTACAGTCTACTTTTAGGTTATCAAGTGTTTTTTCTTCCCATCCATCCAAGTAGTTTCATGGTTGCTAATTGACAAATGGGCACCTGAGAATCTGAAGTGGTATGAGTAGAAGAAAGATTATAACTCTGTTTTCTCCACCCTCAGGAAAGAGTATGAAGATTCATTTGTCCAAGAATGTGACTTCAGACGTTACAAAGATTAGGCAGTAGGAAGGAAATGATAAGAAAAGACAGTTCAGAGACTTGCATTTTTGCCATGGAGGGGAAAAAAAACATCACATAAACACATTTTAACATCTTCTCATAACATCTTCTACATTTTTTTTATCATCATATGTTTGCTTAATGTGTCGTAATCCTCAGTAGGAAGAGCCATGGAGGATCTAAGATCTCAATATGATCTTAAAAACACCTCCCATAGCCCATTTATCTTCCTGAGACTTCCTCAGTATTTTAAAGTTACTGCTCTTACATGGTAAGGGAGAAAGAAATTGTTCTGTGAACAGATTCTAGAAACAACTGTTTCTGAAAGCCAAATATAGGGATTCATAAGGGGTGTAGAGTGAAAGTCTGGTTTATATCCCTGTATTAGTTTATAGTGTGCAGAACTTGCAATTTATATGTATTTTTCATGATAATGTTCAGTTGTTTCCTTTTCTTATTCCATATAATTGAAGTGCTTGAAATAATAAAGGAAACAGACTGTATTAAACATGTGTTCACACTAATATTTTCAAGTAATATTTGAACAGTATTTACTGTTATACGTTTAGTACTAAAGTGAGTTTGAGTACAGCATCCACTGACCTCTAATGGGGCTGTCTGTCAAACTGTTTTAAAGCAAGCTCCAGTGGCTTATAAGCACACTGACAGCCCCATTAGAGGTGTGCATAATGTTAAAACTTTGAAGAAGTTGTTCATGATAACACAGGAGTGGGATCCAGAAAGTTTCTTGCAATTTAGATTTACATTCGTGAGACAAGTAAAATGAAGTGTTGCAATTGCGTATAAGGTAAAAAGATCCAAGTAGATCCAAGTTGTCTTACGTCTTCCTGATGTCCTCTAGGGGTCTGCAAGTACTGCTCACACCTGTCCTCGTGAACATTCTTGAAGCAGACCAGGAAAAATGCTGGGGGTTTGACCAGTTCTTTGCAGAGACAAGTGACATACTGCACCGAATGATAATCCACGTCTTTTCACTACAGCAGATGACCTTGCACAAAGTTTATATTCACAGCTATAATACGTAAGTGTTCTTGTTCTCTGTTTTCATTGCTGTGTTTTCCTTCAGGCAAATTGTACTGCGAGCTCAGATCACCACTGTTATAAATCCAGTAGCCTTCCCTTGGCAGTTTATCTGAGGAACCTTGTAATTCTCCTCTGCAATCCCAGTGCATAGAAGCCTTTTGAACAAAAATAAAACTAAAATCAGTAAAGGTCAAATCAGTTGATCTTAAACTTGGTCTTCATCAGTGACACAGACTTAATCCTTGATGTGTTACAGTGTATGTTCTTAATGGATGCCAACTCATCCCACATTTGTGTACCATACTTACTGACAAGGTAGTTTTCCAGAGACTTGTGTTTAGCTCTCTCTTTTCTTATCTTGTCCTAAAGAATACAGAAGGTGCACATCAACTGTGTCTGACATAAAAAGCTTTTATAGGGGCTCTGAAGTTGTAATTGATACAATTTAGGATCCTAAGTTACATGGAGTTCACTTTATGGTCATCGAGTGCTGATGTTAAAAACGATAAAGTCTGGTTTACAATTTGGTACAAAAATGAGTGTCTTTTCTCTGCCGTACTTCAGATAATACAGAGGATGTGTCATTCGCTGATATGTGAACAGTTATTTCATAAAATGTGTAAATACAGTTCTGGCCTTTTTCAATTTTTCTACTGTGTCATTTTTATTTTGAAAGAGGCCAAATGCTATTTTTGCAGAGAAATCTTGCCTGGAGCTCAAACTGCTATTTGTACTTTATTTTTTAACATTTATTTTATTATTATTTACATTCATGATGATTTATATACTAGCTGTAGTATTAATAAGTGCTAGTGTGCTAGTGCTGCACAGAAGGAATATTTGTCCTTCATGTTAGTGTGCTTAAGGTTTTTCATTTGTGGGAGGTTTTGTTTGTTGGGTGGTTTGGGTTTTCTTCTTTTGGAGATGTGGGGGAAGAAGAGGTTTGTTATAAATTATTATGCTTAGTATCCATTTACTGCTGGTAATAAAACACCAGAGTGTCTTTGGTCTTCCTTCTCACTCCTGTTTTGGAGATAATCTGGCTGTCAGTTTACAGGCTGAATTTAAGGTGTGTGCTTTTTGACATGTAAAACACCAGAATTTTTCTTGGAGAAACCTTCCATCTCCTTTGAAGAAATGCACATGCCTGAGGAAACAAAAGTACGCTTCCTTTCTCTCATCTGGTGCTGCCCAGGCCAAAGCAAGTTTGTTTACACAGACACGCTTTGGTGAAAAATCAGAGGTAGAATGGGAAGCTTGATATTTTGCAGGAAATAGTATTTGTTTTTGTAACAGAGCAAGCTTGGGCAGCATGCTGCTTTTTGTTCTGCTTCTAAGTCAAATGTTTTATGTGTACAACTAGTTCTTAATCAGAAGTAAAAGAGACATTTATCTAAGTAATGCAAAATCTGAATTATTGAACTGTTGCAGTGAGTCTAACTACTACTGAATGTATTGTTTGTATTATAGAGCTACTATATTTCATGATTTGGTCTACAAACAAACAAAAATACCATCTCAGAATCAAGAACTGATATATGAAGGTCGGCGTTTAATACTGGAGCCTAGCAGATTGGCACAGCACTTCCCCAGAACGACTGAAGAGAATCCTATCTTTGTAGTAAGCAGGGAACCTGTGAACATTGTCGGATTAATCTATGAGGAAGGTATATGGAAGCCATTTCCCCTTTCTTATCTTCTGTAAATAGACTGAGCTATTTAATTACTGTTTTATAGCTGTTACATCTTAGAAATAGTGTTTGAAAGTTTTCTCTTTTGATACCTGAAGTTCTAAGAATGCACTTGTTCCCCCTATACCACCCCCCCTTTTTTTTTTAATTCCCCCAAAATGCTGAATATCTGGCATGTTTGTTCCTAGTGCTGGGTACCTGAGCATCCTTGTGTTAAGTGGGGCCTGTGGAGTACTGAAATATGTTTAAGCATGAGACTTTTAATAAGTAGAAAGGAAGACTGTAGAATGTAATTCACAGCTGGTTCTTTTGTTCCATTACTCAGTAAGTGGAAATTCAGGTTTTGACTTCTTATTTTTTAATGTCATGAGCGTGGTTAGCCTTTCAGTTAATAGGAGGTCTTAACACCTTACCTTTGCTTGGAACATAAGGTAATGCCGTAACAGAAAAAAGAAGAAAGTAAGTTTTTGCATTTATCTTTGAGAGGCTTATAGAGGGCCCTGTGCCAGACCCTTTTTGTGTAAGAGATGAGCTGGGGGCTATGTCTACACTTGAGAAGTCACTAGTGCTTTTGTCAGTGTGTCCTACATACTGACTGCTCTGCCCAGCTGGCACTCACACAGAGGTGCTGAAGAGGCTGGGTAGGTGAGCTGTTTGTGGGAGGATCAACAGCACCTTTGTATTGTGTCAGAGCTTTCTAAAGTGAGTGTGAGAACAAAGTAGATTCAGGTGATAGAGGCTACCCTAGATTTTAAAAAGCCATTTGCTGAAGTTCTGCCCGTAAGAGCCTCAGTGAAACTAAGTATAAGATAAGAGGGAATAGTCTCCCACATAGGCAAACATAAGGCTGAAGAACAGAAATAAGTGATTGGTTTTCTCAGTGGAGAGACATCAGTAGTGGAGACCTATATGAAATCTGTGCTGTGAAGCATGTTCAAAAGCGAGTCTGGAAAAGGAAGTGAACAAGTTTGCTGAAGATACCAAGTCACTTAAAGTGCTTAAGACAAAGGCTCATTTTAAAGGTGTGTATGAGAACCACGTTAAATTGAAAGGCAGTAACAGATTAGATGAAAATCTGTGTTGATACATGTAAAAACCAGTGCACACCATGGGGAAAGGAAACAGTCTGAATTTCTGAAGTCTCCTATGGAAAATAATAAAATGAAGATGTTTGTTTTGTGTTTCAGTTTTACTCCCTAAAGTACATCAACGTTATGATTTGGATGGGGATGCCAGTATGGCTAAAGTGAGTAATTACAATTTTTAATTTATAGATCTGCCTCACATAATCATACTGAAATGAAAGCTACTTGATTTTCAGATGAATAATGTTAATGTTAAAAAGAGTTTTAACATGCTAGTGAGGTTTCTGATTGACAGAAGAGTATTTATTAACAAGAGCTCCAAAAGTATATTAAAGCAATACTTTGTATACAAAACGTTTGTATATTAAAAAAACAAACAAAAACCAAAAAAAGAAGCTTCTAAAGTCCAAGTGCTCTGTTACTGCATAATTCAGTGCTTGCAGGGGAAGGAGATGGTCACTTTGGAGTTCTGAAGTTAGCTAGAGGACTCATAACATCCTGTCGTGGTGCAAAACTTTATATAAGGAAAATAACTTTCCTCTTTTGATAGAGGGGTCTCTAGGACTCTGCAGAGTGGAATTTTTGCCTTTTGTAAATTTTCAGAATCTGGGAGATAGGTAGAAGTTGTTTCATCCTTTTGGTCACTTTTCTAGAACTACTTTATGGATGCATTGCCATGCTTTGTCTTTGTGGCCACCATGTATGCTATGCCTATAAAATACTGGCTGCTGGCAAGCCTTGTATTCAGGCATGGTAGTCCTGAAAGCATATGACTCTTTGAACACCAGGAGTCTTTAAAATTAATGAAGAGAAAGCCATCAGTTTATATTAATGAATTAAAATATTGTATGTTATGATTTCTGAAACTTTGTTCACAATTCTAAGTAAATCAGCAAATTTGTAAGTGGAATTAGGTGAATGAAGAGTCCCTAGCCTTAGAATTTAAAAATATGCCATTTTTACGAGTCTCTTTTAATGCATGTGTTTAATTCCTAAACTACTGAAGAAATGTACTTGTGACTTTCCAGAAATTAAAGTAAATCCTAAGAGTAAGTGGTGTCATTTTTGTTTATAGAGACTTATTTTCATCCCTAATAATGATTAATTGGTTTGGAACAATTGTGAAGAGAATGCCAGATTAGTACTAAAGTTTGTGTTTTCCACCAGGCAGTAACAGGTATCGTCTGTTATGCCTGTAGAGTTGCCTCTTCCTTGCTGCTTTACCAGGAGCTGATGCGAAAAGGAGTACGATGGCTAATGTAAGCAACTGATGGGATTTCATTGTACTTGTTTCTTTTTTAAAAAAAATTGAGATATGCCTTTATAATCAAACCATAATTCTGTGATCTCCCAGTGTCTTGGGAAGTTTTCTTTAATCCTTGAATATTAATAGGTTTTTCTGACTTATTTCCTTCTTTCTGTCATTGAGGAAACAAAAATCATTTTTTTGGCAATGAGGTTTAGGTATTTGCAATTTTGGTTTCTTTTGTAAATAATTTAAGTCTAATCTCTGGTAACATGGAGGTACAGTTCAGCATCTTACACAGGATAGTTTTATAGGAGGATTATACTAATGCATCTCTAACTGATAGGAATTCTTACTAGCAGTTACTGCTGTAGGTATATTGTATTGCTGATTACTGGTAAGATGGCAGTTGAATGCTTTCCCTACAGACTATTGCTTCCCTTTTTAGTGAAATAATCAAGGATGATTACAATGAAATGGTTCACAAAAAGACAGAGGTTGTCATCAGGCTGGATTTCTGCAGCAGAAACATTGAGAAAGCTGAGAAAATGTAAGTAGAAGCACTATACTGAATGCATTGATTTTTCAGTATCTTTAATGACAGTGGTATTAAGTTATGTTTATTTTCAGGGGTTTTGTGTATAAAAATAAGTTTGAATCAGCATGGATTTGCTGATGGCATTGACTTAAGCAGATTCAGTATTATGCGCAAATTAGAGTGTTTATTTTGTGGCTTAACCTAATGGGAGCAAATAATTACTACTAAGAAGTAATTGTATGTGTTCTTTTTCTTATTTCTTCTCTGACTTAGCTCATCTGCTGTTGTTGACTTCAGAAGCTATAGTAAAGCCTGGAAAAAGCTACTCAATTCTTTCCTTTAATTAGTCTTTTAGTGCCTTTGTCACTGAGGTTGCTTGTGTGTGTTTATTAAGGATGACTGTTAAATACTGCCCCTTTCACAGATTTAAGATGGTAGCATTTTCTGCATGGAAGAATTTTAGTGTTGAAATGCAACATAGAGCAGCTGAACAAAAAAAAACCCCAAAACCCAACAACAAAACAAAACAACCCAACCACCCAACAAAAGTAAAAAATCAAAACCCACAAAACAAACCCACCAAAACCCCACAAAACCACCAAAAAACAAAGCTACATTAGGACGTCACTACATCAGTGATATCAGTATCACCATGGGATACTGCACATAGGGATACCAGAGGTAAACTGCACAGGAAATAATACTTCTATCATTGTTTTAAGTGCCTGGCTGTTATATGATTTTTGTTTATCTTGGTTAATTCAGAGGGCAGAGGTCTGTATCACAGAATCTCACTGTTGTACATATGGACCCATTTAGTTCATTATAGCAGAAAGTTTATTAGAGCACTTTAAAACTGGAAAAAAAAAATAGGAACTGAAGAATTATTACTTTTTAGAACAGAAGACTTCCAGGTTTCAAAGACCACAGAAGACACTTATTTCTCTTGTTTTCTGTTTCAAGTAAACAGATGCTTTCCAGTGGTCAGACTCTTCTGCCCTACCTCTTTTCACTCAAGGCAGTCTGTAGGAGAAGAGATTGCACCATCAAATGCATCCTCCAATTTCATTTATTCTGTCTCATGATCTTTGTTTCGTCTCCAAGTCCGATGCCCAGTTCTCAAATTCTTTTCCACTTTTAAAGTGCCTTTTCAGTGTCCTGTTCAGTCTTCCCATAAACTATCATTGGCTCCATCTTTATGGAGGAGATTAAGGTGTGTTATTCTTACACAGTCTGATACAGACTCTTCATGGGATTCTTCTATGGTATTTGTTTTCCTATTCAACTTACTGCCAGGATCCCCCAAATGGTGTCTTGGTCATGGGATTCTCTAAACTTGCTTCCAGGCTGCTCTGAAAATGGACATGTCCACAAGACGATTGATGCATACATGTTGGAACCATTGCATTTGCAGAATAGACTTAAGAATAGATTTAGGCCATGTTGGAGCTGCAGTGCATTGCAAATTGAACATCTTGTATGTAGTAATTGTAGATACCCAAGGATTTGTCAGATTTGCTGTGTGCATGCCAAACATGTACAAAATGACACACCTGGGCTCAAAGAGATTTCCTTAAAAAAAAAAATACCCCAAAACAACCAACCAGTGAAATTAGCAAAGTTGATAACTAGCAAGATAATAGCTCTGTAGCCTAGTTACAGGTCATCAGGGATGTGATCCCAACTCTTCTTGAAGCCAGTTAGTTGACATGACTGGTTCCTGTTCACTCTCTGGTTCAGATAGCTTCTTCATGCTTTCTGCCAGGTCCCCATAGAAGAAAGCCACTGAGAGCTCAGAAGAAACTGCTGTAGGTTCTGATTTGTGACTCAGCAGTATCCCAGAGAATCATAGAATCACACAATAGTTAGGGTTGGAAAGGACCTTAAGATCATCAGGTTCCAACCCCCCTGCCATGGGCAGGGACAACTCACACTAAACTATGCCACCCAAGGCTCTCTCCAGCCTGGCTTTAAACACTGCCAGGAATGGAGCATTCACAGCCTCCCTGGGGCAACCCATTCCAGAGCTTCACCATCCTAACAAGAAAGAATTCCTTCCTTATATCCAATCTAAACTTCCCCTGTTTAAGTTTTAACCCGTTACCCCTTGTCCTGTCACTACAGTCCCTAATGAAGAGTCCCTCCCCAGCATCTTTGTAGGCCTCCTTCAGATACTGGAAGGCTGCTATGAGGTCTCCATGCAGCCTTCTCTTCTCCAGGCTGAGCAGCCCTAACTTTCTCAGCCTGTCTTCATACAGGAGGTGCTCCAGTCCCCTGATCATCCTCATGGCCCTCCTCTGGACTTGCTCCAACAGCTCCACCTCCTTTTTATGTTGAAGACACCAGAACTGCACACACTGCTCCAAGTGAGGTCTCAGGAGAGCAGAGGAGAGGGGCAGGATCACCTCCTTTGACCTGCAGGAGCAGCAATTTGAAAAAAAAAATAAAATATGGTCACTTGTGAACTGGAACAGTTCTTATTTTCACAGGAATTTGCTATGCTTGCATGTGTTCTTTCAGCCTCTTACGGAGAGACAGGATGTTCAGTTTATTTGACTTCAGAAGGCTTATATGGAGTTAGCGAAGCTCCTCTTGTTTGTCCTCCCTTTTTAAGGCTATGCTTCAAAGTATGACAATGCAAAGCTTTTATTTGAAAAGGTGAACGAAGTATTGAACTTGAGCAACGTGTGTATTTTCTGGAAGCAGCTGAGCTGGTTTTGATGGTGTTTTTAAAAACAAAATGTACCTGAGACTCAACAGGAAAAATATTGTCCCGAATGATTTATTTGGCACTTAAGAAAGTCATATGGAAAGTATCAGTATGAGCAGATGGTGCTGCTAACCCAGCCTCAAGGTTTTGGTAACTCAGCCTTTCCAATAAGTTTCCACAGAAGTGCATTTTGGTGCACTGGAGTATTTGTTGTGTGTCATTGACTACTTTCATTTGGTAACCTTTTAAAAATTATTTGATGAGAGGAAATAGTTTTACACTGCCTGCTGAGTAGAAGTAATGAATAAGGAAGTCAAGAATGGAAGCTTGAAACTAAAAAGCAGTTCAAATGTAGGAAAAAAAAAGAAGGATTTTTTTTTCATAACTAAAATATTTTCATTATTAGTGGCCATTTAATGTTGTCAGTGTTTCGTGGTTCCTGCTTGACAGACACTGTATTTCATATAAAAAAATAGTTATTGTTACACTAGATTCAAGAAATGTTTTGAGTGTATTCACTGCTTGTTTTTAACTGTGCATTTTTTGTGGCCAGATACGAGAATCTGATGCAGATCAACTTGGAAGCGTCGGAAGTGGATGAAATTTCAGAGATCCAGACAAAACTGTTGCGTGTAAGTATCTTACAAAGCCTATGTCATTCTCAAAATGATGTTTCTAAAGAAAAAGCCAAATACACGGTGTTTTCTGTGAGTAACAGAAATTCCAACATCAGAGATGATTCTTACTTTAATAATACCATGCTTTTGCTGCTTTTAGGAAAGCCTAGACAGATAATGGGCATATTTCTTCAATTAATGTCAGTGAAGTAAATGGGTCTATAGCATTAATGTGCTCAGTTTGTTTTCAGCCTCAAGGAATTTTTCACTTTACCCAGTGGTAATACTGAACTTTCTTGCTCTTACATAGCTCTCCAGCTCTCAGGGCACGCTAGAAACTAGTCTTCAAGATATCAAAACCAAACTTTCTCCAGGTGGTTTACTGACTGACACCTGGGCAAATCAGGAAGGCATGCATCCAAAAGACAGAAAGTGAGTAAATTGTTTAAATATGTATTGAATTTTACATTGAGTCACAGTTCTTAAAACTCATCAATACATACTTAAGTTTATGTATAAAAGATCTCATTTTCTTCCTTTTGTCACTCTAGTCCAGAAAGGCTGCAGGCGCTGCTGCGTTCCATCACAGATATTTATTATCAGTTCAAAAAAGACAAAACAGAACGAAGTAAGTAACTTCTTTGATTCACTTTTAACATAAACTGTAACATAAAGGACAGGTTAGTCCTTGTTCCACTAGGAAATTAGGAATCGAGGGTCAGTCAGCAACAGTGAACATGTTTGTACATCTTTCTCAGTAAGACACCATCTTAAAGCCCATATGAATGAATCACCACTATTAATCTCATAAATTTGAATTGCACTTAGTGGAGTTTTACATAAATACAACTAATAGAATTAAACTGGTAATGTCTGTCATCTGCTTTGATCCTAGGGCTTTCTTATAATGAAGAACAAATTCACAAATTTGACAAGTAAGTTTTGAAGTTACCTTTGGTAAATAGCATGATTGCTTTCAGGTCCTTCAGGTGCTCTTGCCAATAACCTGTTGTAAATTATAACCTCTTCAGGATTGCTTTGTGAAAAATTGCCTTTAAATATCTTAAATACATGGGACTGACAGCATGAGGTAATGAGGTGCTTTCTGACAGTGGAGTTTCATCCCTGATAGACCTTCTAAATGTAGATGTGAAATACCTACATACCTATGAGATACCTGTTCATTTTCTAGGCATAACTGTCTTCCAGGAGATATATTTTTTCCCCCGTTTTTTAGGGAGGAATAAGCCCTCAGTAAGAGTGAAGTGACTTCATAACTGCAGAGAATTTTCTACAGGTGAATGAAATACGGGCTAGCTGAATGAAATTCTAGAACAATTTAATCTTCCAGGAAGTATAGCAAGCAAAATAAATTTTAATGCAGTTCTCCATGCCTGTATAAAATTGTCACTTCAGAGGTGGCCACATGAAGTGTCTGTATGTAACTTGGATGTCTGGACTCCCATTAAACTCCACTGACTAACTCTTGAGCAGGTGCTCTGCTCATGTTGTACTTGTCTCAGGTTTGATTCAGTTCCGTACACAGATGCCTAATACTAAGTTATTCTCCTAGTGGCTGGTCAGTTGAGTGGTTCCCTAGACTTGCTGGATGCTACAGGAGTTCAGACACTGCTTCTGTAAAATTCTTGCTGTTGCTACCAGATTACAGCTAGCAAGCTAACGTGTACAAGGCACTGGTATTCCAAAAACCATGCTGCTTGATTTTCCTGAAGAGAAAGCTAAATGGGATAACTGCCGAGTAGAGGGGAGGTTACCTTGAAATAAAGGACAGTAGAGGCAGGAAAGACAAATTTGACATGCTGAGACTTAGATGCATCCTTGCCCTGCAACAGCGAGGGATTGAACATAATGTGACAGATACTACAAAATTATTGTTCATATTATGTTCTTAAGGATATGTTTGGAAAGAAGGCAAGCACTGGGATGCAAGCCAGTGCATCAGTTTAAAACTGCACTCCCTTGGGCAGATTAAAGATATTTTAGGGCTTTTTCTACTACTCAAACTGTCATTGCACTAATATGTGATATTTTCATGGGTTTGAGTACTGGCATATTTTCTACCACAAGTGTCTCCTTATGACTGTTCAGGTATCTTTGAGATCCTAACTACATCTTATTGATTCACCCTATAGAGAAATGACAGTGGTTTTTGTTAAGAGCTGTCTGCCTTTAGCAACTGAGGTTGGCCTTTGTAATATTTACCCCTAGACAGAGAATGGAGCAGCACTCAACTAGGTTTGTTTTTTTTCTGGTTGAATGTAGGTGTGCATGCTTGATGACAGTCCAGTTACACGATAGCCAGAATGTGATTAACCAATAGCTATCATGCAAGACTGAACAAAATACCAGAAGCAGGTATTGGACTGTAGTGTCCCAGTATCCCTTAGTTTCACCTATTGGTGCAATGCAGAGCATGGTAAGGGAATAAGTAGACTGGGATTACTGTCTGCAACACTAAACAGAACTGGGTTTTGGTTTGTTTTCCTGTCCTTATCTGCTTGCTTTTTAATTTTGTCATAAATGTAAGCTGACAGAAAAATCCTGTGATTTTTTTCTTCTTGCATGTATATTTCTCAGCACAAAAGATTCTTCATATATGCTGGAAGTTCCAAGTATCTGCAGAAGGCAAATAAGAAATAATAAGGCTTTCTGCTGTTTCAATTTAGAATCCCTTTTCCTTACATATATCTGCTTGATAAATACTGACTCAGAGAAGACATTTTACCAGTTGTTCATATAAAAATAATTGCAACTAAATGCTTCAAATAATTATTTTCCTCCCGATAAGAAATATTTTTGAAACATGAAACTGTTAGCTCATGCATTGTGTTGGATTCTTATACCTTACAACAGCATACATAAAGGTGGCTGAAGGGATTTTAAGCCCATATGCCTGTTCTCCAAATTTCAGTAAGTAAATCAGAGGAATGAAGTTTTGAAAGCAATATAACGCTGGTTGTTTCTGTTGCAGGCAGAAGCTGTATTTGCATGCTACAAAAGCCATAACTCTATTCAAAGATGAATGTGTCAGCAAGTATGATACATTTTTGGACAAGGCTGAGGACTGGACAAGGCAAGCTGTTGATTACTATTTGGTCATGTTCACTGCACCACTTTTATACAGGAAGCTCCTAAAAGAAACCATTTTTTTCTTTTAGGAAAATGTTTCACACAAGGAAGCAGTTACTGGCTCTCACCAATCAGTGTTTTGATATCAAAGAAGAGGTATCCAAATACCAGGATTATATAAATGAGGTAGAACACTTCAAAATTCTGTAAAGTGTTTGCATAGATAAAACTGTTCCACATTGTTTAGTGTCATTAGTGTTGTTTATAATGAGTCTTAAATGCAGTCATATTAAAACACAGGCTGCAGTCATTAAAACACAGGCTGCATGAATGTAGTATTCAGACGATAGTAGCTTAGAATCATAGAATCACAGCATGGTTTGGGTTGGAAAGGACCTTAAAGGTCATCTATTTCCATGATGTTGGAGTGGCCTAGAGAGTGGTGTGATTTTTTTGAATCCTGATGAATTTGGAGTTTGGGGGGTTTTGGGTTTTTAGTGGTTTTGGTTTGGTTGGTTGTTTTTTTTTTTTGTGGTTTGGGTTTGTTTTTTTATTTTGGGGGGGGGGGGTGGATTTTTTTTGGTAATGTTAGCATTCCCCCAAAAAAAATCTGTGCAAATGGGTGTGGGTTCATTGAGAAGTGTTCTCTGTAACTGTTACCATAATGGTATCTGAGTATCTAAAGGATTAACTGAATACTCAGGATTAAATATACTGAAGCATAAAAACACTACTTCCGTATGCAGGATGAGGGGATACATGCTCAAGGATGCGTGCCAATGCTGCTGGTACATGAAAGAAGAGGTTTTGTTAAAATTCAGACAGTGACTCCGCAGGATGGAAACTTACCAGAATTACTTCAAAATTGAGAGAATGAAGGCAGTAATATTATTATTATTTATAAAAGAAATAAAAAATGAAAGAAGAGCACCTGATAGGCATAAAGCAATGAAGGAATGGTAGAGAGCAGCATTTTACTTGTTCCTGGTTTGTATCTAGTAGCACCACCAAAGTCAGTTATTGACAAATAGATAATTCTTCCTTTTGAGAGTTTATTATAAAAGTATAAGACAGTTAAGAAGATGGAACAAATCGGGGACCTACAGGTCATGTCAATACAAAACTTGTTGTGATGATCTCAACTTGGGGAATATCAGCCACCTTAATACTGTAATGGTCTTATGAGGCGTCACAGCAGTGGAGAATTCAAAGAAAAATTTCAGGGTGGACATCAAGGTATATGTGACAACTTAAAACTTACATTTCCTTTTATCTATTACAGTTACAAGATGCTCTGCCACAGAAAATGTTTGCAGCTTCCAGTGGGATGAAACATACAATGAATACAGTCTATCCTAGCTCAAACACATTAGTGGAAATGACTCTTGGGTGAGAAGTTCTTAATTGGATTGATGCAATATTCTATACCTATTACACAAATATGGTTGACTTAGGGATTGCTGCATTAAGACCAAGAATTTTATATTTCAGAAAAACTTTATATTGCTAAAGTGATGGTGGCACGGACTTGGAAGCGAGTAGGGGACAATACTGATGTATCATTTTAGTAAATAACCAACTCGTTATCTGTTCCTTCTTTTGTATGTAATAAGTTGGTGGAAGCTGTGTGGTGGTGGTGAGTAATCACAGCAGACAACTGTCCCTATAAAAATTTTAACCTTTTTCTGGCTTCTTGTTACTACAGTATGAAGAAACTAAAGGAGGAAATGGAAGGGGTTGTTAAAGAGCTGGCTGAGAACAATCACATTTTGGAAAGGCAAGCAGTTGTTTTCCCTTTTGGGGCTGATACTAGGAGCTGGCTTAATTTGATATATTTTGTAGATCCAGACCTTACATCAAGGGATGATTCTGTAGTCTCTTTTGAACTGCTGATCTGAGGTCTACCCCCCAGAAAAGTATCCAAAGCCTTGAAACATTACTGTAAAATCATACTGACGCAGCAGTTGTGGTGTTTTTATGTCGCGTTACTTACATTTGGCTAGAAAAAATATCTGTTGCACAGATTAATTCTGAATTTAAACACAGTGCTGTTGCAGATCCAGTGGCGTCTTTTACCTCCTCACTTTTAAACATATTTTTTAACAACTGTGGAATTGTACCAATCTGAATATATTATTTTGTAGTTTTCAGATTGCTTAAATAAAGTGAGGAGAAAGAGGCCAACAAATTTCTTACAATCCTGAGAGGATATTGTTGTTATCACAACTGTTAGACAGACTTGTTGTGCAGACATGTTGTTACACAGACTGACTTTGCTTTTTTTCTGTAAAAGTAATGATCTCCTGAAAGCTTCAGTGAATTGCTGGTAGAGCTGAGTTTGGCGTCAGGTTAAATTGGTTTTGTTTTGTTCCCGAGTCCCATAGTTGGAGCATAACATCCTCTCTTCCATCTTTTCACATAAAAGTTGGATATAAATGCATGTGGTGGTGCATGGCAAGGAGAAGGAAACCCCATAAATAGATTATAATGAATTAAGGATTCATTCTGTAATCCAGACAATCACCTAAGAATACACTGGTGTGTTTTTCCTTTTAGATTTGGTGCTTTGACTGTGGATGGTGGCCTGCGGAACGTGGACTGTATCTAGTGTTCAAAGGACCTGATGAAGAGGACTTGTAAATTTTTTCAAAGGGAAAAAGTACTGTTGGGACATTTAAAGGCAGATATTAAATCTGTATCCAGGTTTTATTTCCCTTTACAACTGTAGTATTAAAGAAAATGTAAATCTGTATAATATGTAAATATAAAAGAAATATCTATCTTTTTTTTTTTTGGTTAATGTTAGGATAGAATTACTCTTGGCAGGGAGTTGAGCCCCGTGGAGGATCTCTGATGAAGTCCTAAAAGTAAAAATGTTGATGAAATAGGCATTTGTTTGCTTTGAATATTGCCTGTTTTATTCTCAGAATGCAACTTGGTCTTTATTGCAAGAGGACTTGTGGAACTCTGAACGTTATGAATAGCCTTTAAAGGGTGTTTTGGATTTCCTTTAACCACTACTATTAGTTTGGAGTTCGGCTGAATGACTCTGATTGTCACAGAACATGATGGCTCTTTTAAATGAGATCTTTTTAAATAAATGTGAATAGGGACTAAAAGCACAGGTAGGACAGAGTAGAAATGCATTTCTCTTCACATCCAAGTGAAGAGGAATTTAGTTCACTTCCACTTGAGAGAACAAATTCATGATGTTTTTTGAAGTTCCTCTCTGTATCTGGTTCTGTGCTGTCTGTAAACAGACAGCTCTGTACATGGAAATTTTGCACTCCACGTTGTCAGACTGGATGTAAAAATTCCTGGTTTAGAGTACAGCATGTCCAGAATTTCCCTGAACTCTTTTTGATCACCACAGTGCCATGGTTTAAGCCCAGACGGCAACCCAGAACCATGCAGCCGCTCACTCACTCCCTCCCCCCCCCCACTTCCTCCCCCTGCTCCCTGAGGGATGGGGAGGAGAATTGAAAGAATGTAACTCCCACAGGTTGAGATAAGAGCAGTCCAGTAACTAAGGTATAACACAAACCACTGCTGCTACCACCAATAATAATAATGATAAGGGAAATAACAAGGGAAGAGAATACAACCGCTCACCACCTGCCGACTTGATACCCAGCCTGATCCGAGCAGTGATCTTGCTCTTCCAGGTAACTGCCCCCAGTTTTACATCATGGGCATGACGTGCTGTGGTATGGAATACCTCTTTGGTCAGTTTGGGTCAGGTGCCCTGTCTCTGCTTCCTTCCAGCTTCCCCTCCTCCCTGGCAGAGCATGAGACTCAGAAAGTCCTTGGTCAGAGTAAACATTACTGAGCAGCAACTAAAAACATCGGTGTTATCAGCGCTGTTCCCAGGCTGAAAGTCAAAAACAGCACTGCACCAGCTGCTAAGAAGGAGAAAAAATGACTGCTACTGCTGAACCCAGGACAGCAGGAAAAGTGGGTTCTCAAAGTAGCTTTTTCAGAGTCCTGTTTGCAGGCATGATCTTTAAAAAGGTTAAAAATTCGTATGAGGAGAATTTGTGGGCAGTCAGGAGACAGGCAGCATCATGCCCCAGTGGAAACTGAAAACTGGAAAACTACTTTATTAGTCTAGATCATGAAAAAGAACAACACTCACTGCTGACTTACAACTGAGATACCCAACTTAGGTGGAAAACTTAGGAAGGCTACTTACATATTTTCCAGTATCAGTTATTTTGCAGTATCAATAGTTACTACTTTCAGTACTACATTACTGGGTTGCAGAGATGCAGAACAAAACAGTCTGCTCCAAAATATGTAGGAGAAGAGGAAAACAAACAGAAACTCAGAAAACATCCCTCACTTTTTTTGGATACTGCAGATGTACTTACTTCTTTCAGACAAAGAGCATGCAAATTATTGCAGGACTCATTCTTTTCTGGTGGAAACCTTGCCAGGGGTGTTCAGTGGTGTCCAGCAGTACTTCTGGTTGCTGTATTACATTTGTTGGAAGGGCTGGACCAATTAGGTTGAGAATTTTTCATCCTTAACAGTGAAACATTTAGGAATAAACTGAACAGTGGTAACCTCTGATAGCATCTATTTTGTGATGCTGATTCCCTGCTTACCTGTCCAGGTCAGAACAAAAAACATTTTCATTGCTTTTTTAAAAAAAAGTTTGACTAGAAACGTATCAAATTTATAGTTGATTCTTCCATTGTTAAAGGAAGAGGAAATTCACTGCCCTGCCGTCAGAGACCTGCTTTCTAGTGTTCATGATGAGAATCAAATATTAAAAGGGAATTCAGATATGTTTTACACCCACATGAGAGGCTTCATTCTTTGGAAGCTTTGTCCCAAAAAAATCTAGCTATGCAAAAGGAGTGCAACAGTTTGTTAGGTATTTTTCCTTGGATAGCCATGGAATTCTGAACTGTTTGACATGATTCTGGCATTTTAAAACAAACCGGAATGTTTTAATGCCTGTTTGTACACTTGTTCATCCACGTCCACAGTCTCACTGAGTGTCAGTAACACATGCACAAGTGTTAGAAGAATCATGCTCTCAAATTTGTCATAGACTGTGTTTTTTTCCAATACTGTCTAACACTTCACTGTTTCAAAGGCTCTTGAAAGAAATCAAGTGTCAGTTGGAATATATCATTTTCAAAGGTCTTTATTGTGAGGCTGGTGAGGCACTGGAACAGGTTGCCCAAAGAAGTGGCAAATGCTCCATCCATGGCAGTGTACAAGGCCAGGCTGGACAGAACCTTGGCAACATGGTCTGGTGTGAGGTGTCCCCATCCATGGCGGGGGGGTTTGGAACTAGGTGATCTTAAGGTCCTTTCCAACCCAAACCATTCTGTGATTCTATACTGAAGCAGTCTGAAAAAGGAAGGTAAGTGTATTAGCAATGCAGTCCGTACATTGACGTATGCACAACATTCTTTTATACACAGTTGAAAATGTTTTGTTGTATTTTATGTTCATTTTAAACATTGCTTGGTTTAGTGCTGCTAAACACATCAGTAATCTTATACTTGTTAAAATTTCTTTTCCTAAATCAATTTTAACTAATCAGTAGCTAAGGGACTTGAAATAATTGGTTCATCACCTACCGATTGCGTTCTTATGAAGCAAATATATTTTTTGAGTCAAAGTGTGGTGTGTAGTGCCATCGTTTTGGGGCTCAAACCAAGTGTCCTGATGCTATTGGTCATGCTGCTGATTTGCCAAATGAAGTAATAGAAAATAATATATAGTTCTTCATCCTGAAGCAGCTTTCCTGGTCTGGGGGGGTTAGCTTAGTATATTAATTATCTGTTACTTGAACAAACCTGTCTTCATATGAATTGTGAAAATGCATGAGTGAATGACCTAATGGCATAAATACATCATCAACCACTTACTGCATGGTGTGGACTTACTTCTGTGTCTTTCCGTAATTTCACTTTCTGTTAATTTCACTATCACTATTTTCTCTTAAGTGCAGTACAAAGCCTGAAGTAGCAAATCATGGCTTAGCTTGCATTAGCTGTGCAGAAAATGCATCCTGTACAGCGGAATCGCCAGCACAGGCTATGCAGTAAAGCCACTCATCCTTTGTTTTTAACCACTCTGCTGACGTGTTCTGAACAACAGTAGTTCTCTGTAACAGAGGCAACATTTGTGGTCTCTGCTTGGTGTGAAACAGTCCACTGGTGGAGCTCCATAAGTACTGATTTAGTTTATTACTGGAGAAGTGGCAATTACAGAATAATTTTGGCTACAGTACTATGGCAAGGATTAAAAAGGCTGAAAGGAAAAGATTGCTTTTTGGGTTTTAAGACTTGACCCCTACAAGAGGGGAGATGTGGAATAAACTGCATCAACTTGTTTGGGCAAAATTAAACACAGAACTACCACTAAGTAGTTGCATAGCCTGCTGGTCCTCTGAAATCCCTTCCACAGAGGGCATGAGATCACTGGGTAGCCATGGCTGGTCAGCCTAACCAGGGGTGGCTTCTCACTAGGGACAGGAGCTCTGCCTTGGCTGTGGGGAGGAAAACCTGGGTTACCTGTGACCAGCCCCATGATGAGCACTTCAGAACTGGCTTGTAAAAATTGACAAAATATATTGGCCACCTGAAGATAACCTAAAGGAGAAAAAAATGACTGGGGTCTGGATAACTGACCTGGGGAAAATGGGAGTGGGTTAGCTGGAAGAATGGGAGAAAGGGGGAGCAAAATTCTTAAGTCATCTGAAGGCTGTTACAGAAGGTGTCTGTGGTGAAAGGAGTTGAGATTCTGAATATACATCGTAGTGTACAAAACAAACCTTTCCAAGACTTTTCCAATAGGTTTCCTGAGATTGGCAATATCTTTGTGAGACTAAAGAGAGTCAAGTGCCAGAATAGTGTTCTGAGAACTGAGCAGTATTGGTCGAACTGGGGGGTTTGGGAATGGGTTACCTGTTGGCAGCTCTCGTGGCCAATCTCACCACTGGCAAGGCTGCATGACCTTTTAATTTTCTGTTTTTTAGACAGCTTTTTGTTGTTATTTGTTCCATTGACTACAAATAAAGTGTGGTAAGGGATATATCCCCCAGCATCATCTGCTGTTTTGACGTTGGTACGAGCCTGGCCAGCAGTCAGTGCACTTGCAGATGCATGTCTTTTGGAGACCTTTCACCTGCTGTTACAAAGCAGACTGCCAGTGACAGGTCGAGCTGAGGTGTGCTACAAGCGGGGGGGGGGGGGGGTACCACAGTTGTTCAGAGCTGTGTTCTGCTGAAATCTCAGTCAGGTGTTGGATGCAGCTGGTGACTGCACAGGCTTCCACGGCCTTCCCGTCAAGGTGCATGTGTGTCACCACTGCCTGGCCATGGGAAACATTCCCTGCAGTAGCAGCTCGAAGTGACTTGGGCAGCTCATTTCAATGAGAGCTCACAGAAGTGCATCACTGGCCCTTGCCAGCTCGCTGGTGCCAGCATGAGGGTCCCTTCAGCATACTTGAGTATATTCATGCTGTGCAATGCGGGGTTTGTCAGTTCATTGCAGAGCTGGTGTCAGCAAATGCATCTGGCATGGAGCCCTGCCCTGAGCTGGGGGACAGGCAAGCACTGGCTTTGCTTGGCTGGCACATCTGCCAACTCATGGTGAAAGAAGATGATGCTGGCACAATTGTACTGCCATGGGAGCCCTACAGCAGCTCCAGCTTTTAGCAGTCAGCAGCAGTTTAGAGTCTGTAACGAAATCAGGTCATGAGATTTAACTATTTTGTTTTTTTCCCCCTTTTTATTCGTCGGAACCTTCTGTGTAAATGCGCAGATGAATTGTTCATAAACCCTGTATCGCCACATCCTGAAAACACGTTATAGCCGGGCTACGGCCCACTTTATATCACTTAGGTTCTGTGCACGGCTGCGTTAAAGTAGGCGATGTTTTAACGCCTGAGCTGTACCGGTCAGCTCACCGAACGCTCCCCACAGCTG